AAAAAAACCTGCTAACCAACCAACCAACAGCCACCTGCCAGCGGCGCCAGCAGCAACCAACCATCTGACCACAACGTAGCATCCCTTTTGTGGGCCATCCGAGGGTAAAATTTAGAATAGGAAGAAGCCTATTGCAACGTGGCATGCCTTTTGTGGGCCACAGATACAGTTTAGAGTAGGAAAAAGCCATTGCAACGTAGCATTCCTTTCGTGGGTAAAATTTAGAAAAGGAAGAAGCCATTGCAACGTAGCGTGCCTTTTGTGGGCCACCCGAGGGTAAAATTTAGAGCAGGAAGGAGCCATTACAACGAAGCATTTCTTTTTGTGAGCCACCCGATGGTAAATTTTAGAGTAGGAAGGAGCCATTACAACGATTTACAACGTAGCATTCCTTTGATGGGCCATTCGAAAGTAAAATTTAGAAAAGGAAGAAGCCATTGCAACGTAGCATGCCTTTTGTGGGCCACCCGAGGGTAAAATTTACAGCCGGAAGGAGCCATTATATTACACTGTAGCATTCCTGTTATGGGCCATTTGAAGGTGAAATTTAGAATAGGAAGGAGCCATTACAACGCAGCATTAGTTCGAATTCGACTTCGAATCGACGATAATTTTTTCACTCCGGGGGGGGAACTAGTTCGAGTTTGAGTTCGAATTCGAATCGACGACAGCGATTTTGGAGTTCGACTCTTTCTATTCGTCCACTGGGTTGACTTCTAACAGTTCCAGTTCAAGTTCGAGATCGAGTTCAAGATCGAGTTCGAGTTCGGTTCCTTCCATATATATATCCTTGAAAGGTTGAGTCGCCAAGGACAGCACTGTGCTGTCCGGTGTAGGTGGAGATAGGTGGAGATCACTTGCAACATGTTTCAAACATACTTTGGCGTTCCAAAATGTCAAAAAAAACAGCCTATTATATGTTAGATCTTATCAGCCTGGGAGCATTCAAAGTATCTCGCGCTGAAGCCAGTGACATCACTGCTTTCTGATCGTGACCAATCCGGCACCGGACCTCGTGCCATCAACAAGTTATTCTTTGATGAAAGAAACTTTGAACTGCACCGGACGCACCGCATGAATGATGAAAACACTGGTGCAATCCTGTGAGTTGGTAGAAAATGATACAAGAAGCTGCATGCGACCCAAACCTGAACATTCCAAGACCAAGTGGTCATGGTAGGAGTGCACCACTCTCGGAAGGATCGCCTTGGTGAAAAAAGATAAAGACAGCTCAATTGCTATGGGGGAATGGTCCAGGTAACAAATCAAAAGAGATTTGCTCAGGACAAAAGACAAATCTAGTGAAAGCACGGCAACTCTTTCAATTCATTCATTCTAACGACTGCAAGCAAATACTGAGTTTACTCTAAACAAAACCACCAGTTCTTCAGATCCTCAAAGAAGGCGCGTGAGGAGCCCTGAAGGTTTTAGATTTTAGACAAGCTTGCAAAGCAAAAGAAAGAAAAGAGGTCTGGACTCTAAAGGTCTAGAAGCTACTAGGGGCTCCTGGCCGTACTACTAGGAGCAAGGACGCTACTAGGGGCTCCTGGCATCGCTACTACGAACAAGAAGCTACTAGGGGCTCCTGGCCAGAAGAGACCTAGAAGAGGCAGACTGCTTCGACCGGTTCGGACGGGTGACTCCCATGGAAGGCGCCACAGATCGCGTGGTGAAGTTGCATGGTTCGCTCCTTTCACCAAGCCCTCGTAAGGTCACAGCTGCAACCTGGACGGACGGTCTGTCCATGCGGCTGGTGTGCTGCATGGACACCACGAAAAGACACTACAAATCTGCAAGGAGCTCAATTAAGATTGACCTCTACCAGCTACGAGTACCTCAAATCAGGTTGGACTTTACCTCCAACGATAGAATTTGGACTGAGCGTGATCTCTTCCTCTTCCTTTGCAGCTAGATCTGATAATTCTCGGCTATGAAGAAGAACGTAATTAAGGTTGCCGAATCTTGAGCTCTTAGGTTGGAGGCCATCGCAACTTGGTTGGAGGCCATCGCTATTAGCGTGGAGGCCATCGCTATTAGGTTGGAGGTCATCGCTATTAGGTTGGAGGCCATCGCTATTAGGGTGGAGGCCATCGCTATCGCTATTAGGTTGGAGCCCATCGCTATTAGGGTGGAGGCCATCGCTATTAGGGTGGAGGCCATCGCTATTAGGTTAGAGGCCATCGCTATTATGTTGGAGGCCATGGCTAGTAGGTTGGAGGCTTTTACCATGTGCTGCTCGCAGCTTTGCAGGTTTTTACCACTGGCATCAGACTATGATTGAACGTGTGTTTCTTCACTAGCCTTTAGCTTTGAGAAACTCGCTTTGAACTCCCTCCTCACTCAAATCATGTGCAAAAAAAGCCAACAGTGCGTCATGTGTCGCAAACATAAGGCCACAATCAAGCAAATCTCAACACACCGTTCTTGTCCATTGGGCCATGACTTGCCAAAGGCACAGCGTGCATCAGGCGAACAAAAGTGGAAGTATGTTTATGTGTATATTATAATATATATTGTATGAGAATTCTAGAAGGTAAGCACTAGAACCTGGAAATGAGAATGAGTTTAGACCTGACAAAAACTCCCGGCATTGCTCCTATAGACTAGCATTACTCCAAGCGTGTCTTGTTGTTCTCCACAAAGAAATGTCCTTTCAAGAGCGGCCTGGACAGTGTAAGCTGTACCAGGCTCAAGCATCCGGAGCTCCATGTAGGTAATCGAGCCTTCATGCTTCCAAATGGAGCCTAGCCACGCTTCAAGTCTTCAAGGCTTCATCACGAAACGGATGCGGCTTTTGAGGCTTCTCATGCAAAGCGCAAGCAACGGGGGATCTACACTGCTTCTGAGAAGGTTTGGGAATATGTTGGATGGGTTTGGAGGTTCCAACTATTCGTGCGTTTCTCTCTCAGGAAATCTCCACAATTACAAGGCAACAATTAAAGAACTTGTTGCAGCTGAGCATCCCATTTCGACTGCCTCAGCAAACAACCCTTCTTTGTGACTTAATATGCCCTTCTTACTAGCTACTAGTAGTAATGCCCCTGTTACTAGTAGCGATGCCCTTGTTACTGTCGAACACGGGTGGGAGTGGTAACTGTGCGAAAACGCTCAGCTCGCTGCCTCCGCCGTGCCTGCAGATACTGCCTGCCTGCAGGGATTGACAATTGATACATGCACATCTTCATCAAGAAGAACATGTTCATAAAGTTGGTAAACGGTTCAACTGTTCTCGATACGTTTAAGGTCCTATAGGGTCTCAATATGTGTCAATCAGATGTCCAATTGAACGGATTATATAATCAAGCATCATTCCAAACCGAGCCTTTTAAAAATCAAACATGTGTTTTCAAAAGAACGAGGTCTGAGAACTTGTTGTGCCTCAAGCAAAAATGTAAAGGAAGAATCAGTTTATGATCGCAGTAGGTTGGAGGCTATCGCTAGTACGTTGGAGGCCATCGCTAGGAGGTTGGAGGCCAGCGCTCTATAAGGAAGAAGCAGTTTATGATGAAATGTTGCTTTTTTGTGAACTGTTGATCCATTTTGCCAGGCTGCAAGGGCAGCTCGAACTCACGGACTGCTGAGCGGCCACGATCACGGGCCCGCCCAAGGTACACCATGTACGCGTGCACTGGCGAACCTGTGAGGAATGCATGGATGTTCAGTATTCCAAATGAAAGGCTGGTTTTTGCCTTTGAGGTTGCAAACAGGATTAAAGAGACTGCACAAGAGGGGGGTCTTGATTGCACTAAAAAAGAACGTATTTCAAAACGCTTTGAGCAACACGTGAATTATTTGGCCCGCCACCGGATCTTGCCTGCAATGTCTTTGGGTGTCACCCATTTGAGCTTTGCACTTTGTCGGAAGCTCATCTCGACGTCCAAACGCCCTGATATTGCGGTGCCCATGCGTAGCCGTGGGAATTCTTGTGTTTGTAAGAAAAACAAAGACAAATTTAATGTTTCTTTGCTCCTAATAACAATGGCCTCCAACCTAATAGCGATAGCCTCCAACCTAGAAGTGTGTTTGTCGTATGTCACCAGTATGTCACCTGTATCCAAGATCTGAGGTTTTCACCCCGGAGTTCTGGAGCCAGCGCTTCTGTACAAATTTGCGCTGAATCAGACCACTCACCATCTCCTGAGGTAGGAAAGACATGGAAAGACACATTGAAGACACAATTGATGCCAACAAGACTCCATCGCTTCCATTTTGGAGGCCATCGCTATTGGGTTGGAGGCTATTGCTAATCCGAAACAAATACGCATTTGGAGCATTTAGCCAACAAGACTACTAGGAGCAATGTTCGCTACGAACGGGGCTCCTGGCATTGCTACTAGGAGCAAAGGGCACTTAGCCAACAAGACTTTGCATTTTTGAAGTCTCCTGGCCCCACAGCAACAGCTGCTACCTGCACGAGGCAGGTGCTGCTGGGTCGAAGCTCACGGACCTTCAATGAGTAGTAGCCTGGCAAGAAATACTTTGAAGGAAACAGAAACAAAGATCTATCTGCTGCAGAAACACTTTTCTTTTCGAAGAGGACGTATTCCAATGATAGAAGTTTCGCCTGGCTTTTCAGAGGCGGTAGCAGCTGCACGTGCTCCCAGGATCTCAGTCCACAGAGGCTGCGCACGGATGCCACTGCCTTGAGAAGGCCAAATGACCAAATGGATTTCGCATGTTGAGTTGTAAGTGGATTTCAAATCACTCCAACACATCAACCAATGTTCAAGCTAATCGTTTCTGTGCCCTTAAGATGCACGCATTATGCCACCAGAGGTAGTCTGAAAGTGGCTATGCTCAGTGGCATGGGTGGGCATAGACAAATGTTTCGTAGTTTCAATCCAAGTTCATCCTAGATTATGATCATGATCATTACCTGAGTCCATATGTACTCCATGAATAGTCTGAATCTGCAAAATCTAGTTGCCGACCTGATATCAAAACCAGGTTAAACCATGTTAAACCCGCGAATTGGAGATGAGCTTAATGGGAGCAGCAATTGTCAGGACCTGGCCCGCTCAATCTCGGCCTGTAGTTTCCAGCTCGGGCTCGTAGCAGATTCGAATTCGAAAGCCTGTGGAGTCAAAGCTCGTTTGCTGCGACTTTGGCCAAGCATCGGGAAACAACGAGGTCAATGCCAACTCGTGATTTTGAAGAAGTTTGCTACGACATGCTACCATGATCTACCATGCTATTGCATGCTATTGCTAAGTGACTAGCCCCTCGCAGCTCTTCATCTTGGCCTCAACCTACACTAGCGCCTACACTAGCGTCTTAACTTCGAGTCATTTCTTCGAACTTTGCCTCGCAGTTGGCGCTCTTGAAACTCTGTGGAGTCAGGCATGCAAATCTTCATCAACTCCTGGATATCTGTACCTTTGCTCCCAATTCCAATAGTCTTCGCTGTATGTAATGCGCAAGGCAAGAAGATAGAAAACGAACAAAATCATCTTGTTGTGTTATTTTATGTTATTTTGTTGTTGGTGTTCACATGTGTTCACCGTGTTCTGCAGACTTGAGCGGATGAAGCTTGCCGCGCCACGCTCAGACAACCTCCAAGAGATGGTGGCGCTGTTGTGATCCACCTGTTCCACCTCCGCCGCGATTCGTCAAACCCGATGGACGCTCAATGAGACCACTCTGGTGCCAACGAAGAAAACAACAAACACATCAAAAAGATTCAAAAGATTCAAAACAACAACACAACAAACACTTGCCCAGGCACTTTCACATCTGCGATTGCAGGAGGAACGGCTAGCGTCTCTGCACGGGTGATCTGTGAGATCTCACCGCGTCCAGCATGGGTGATAGCCAGTGCTGTGCAAGAATAGCCACTCCGGCTTGTCAAGCCACTTGCAATGACCACCTGAAAGCAGAAAGCCTTGCTTCCAATGTCTCTCTCACGAAAGTATAAGCATCAGCATAAGAGAATAATAATGTATATATAATACTATGTAATGTCATGATGTACAAAACAAAGAAGCTACTAGCAAAGGGCATCGCTATTAGGAGCAAGGACGGTACGTTCGGGGCTCCTGGCCGTACTACTAGGAGCAAGTAGCTATTAGCTTATTGTTTCTACTAGCTTCTTGTTACTACTAGTAAGGCACTTGTTACTACTATCGATGCACTTGTTACTACAAGCATCAAGAAGCTACTAATAACATGGGAAACACAACGAAGGCTCAGTTCGATAGTTGGACGACTTCAGAGCGAGGAGCGTGTGAAGGGAACACCTCGTCATCCAAGTGCAGGTGTGGTCTCAAGGTCGTAGCCAACATTGAGGCATCGCTGGAGGAAAACTGCACAATCAGGAATGCAAAGTAGGTGAGCTGAGAGCTGTCTTTCGGGAAATGAGCTTGCTGTGCAGGCAACGGAAGCAAATTAGCCGAGACGGCCCAGGACCTACTGGTATACTCTGCAGGGAGACTCCTTGTGATGAAAAGCCTATTTGTCATATCGGCGAAATGAAAGACATCAGCAGCATTCGACATGTGTTCTTTCACGCATTGAATACAAAAGAGGCTTCTTTTAGACCAAAGGAAGCAGATGTGAAGCAGGTCTTGAACCCGTTGTGCATCGAAAAGTGTGCATTGAAGCGTTCTGGGCCTCCAAGTTTTGAACCTCATAGCCTCGCTGGCTTGGTTGCAACCTGGGCGACGAATAGTGATACAAACCCGAATCAGAGAGCGTTTGAGAGGGTTCTTTCTAGTTGCTCTTGCTGGGAAGACTGAACAAAAGAAACTCCAAGGCTCAAAATGTCTAAAGAAAACAAGTAAAAACACAATTCTCTTGATCCTAAAAATCATCATGGATGGTTTCTTGTGTTTTTCTTCAGACTGTTCGACCTGTTTGTCGTTCTCTATTCCTTCCTTCTAGACTGTGCTTGGACTATAGGGTAACAAAATGGATGTTCCTCATAACTTCTGCAACTTGGGTCGGGCAGCTGCATTTCAAAGTGTTCCACCTCCTCATCTTGCCCTTTGCTAGGTTCTTCAAGGGATTCATACCTTGGCAGGCATATCATAATTAGGTGATTTCGATTGTAGCAGCATAAGTGCTGACACGGTTTAAATCGCAACGTCAAGGCACGCCAAACCAAAGACCAAAGAGCCATGCGAGGGGAAGAGAAGCTTTGGCGCGGCAAGCTGTCAGGAAGGCAGGCGAGTCGTTAAAGCACTCAAAGGCACTCGATTGCAACAATCTAGTAACAAGTGCCTTACTAGTAGTAACAAGTGCCTTACTAGTAGTAACAAGTGCCTTACTAGTAGTAACAAGTGCCTTACTAGTAGCCCACGCTAGTAGTAACAAGTGCCTTACTAGTAGTAACAAGTGCCTTACTAGTAGTAACAAGTGCCTTACTGGTAGTAACAAGTGCCTTACTAGTAGTAACAAGTGCCTTACTAGTAGTAACAAGAAGCTATTAGACAATACGAATAGATGATCACCTCAAAAGCCTACACAGGACCAAGCATTCGCCTTTGGTGCTCTGCGCCACGTAAAAAGTGGATCACTCTTAGGTGACCATTCTCCTGCCAGGTCCGGTCCGCTGTTGCGGTGGGCAAGGAATGTCAATGCGAAGGCAGAAAGCTGCAGAACAGTCCTTGACCACTTGCCGTCTTTGCGGCCACTTGTACATAGTACATTCGTGAAGCTGCGAGGCCAGTAAGCCAAAAGTGCACCTTAGAAGGCAGGAAAGCGCTGTTCTTCAACTGAGACCAAGACAGCACACCTCAAAGAGATTTTTTAAAGCAGCTGAGCTGTTTCCGTTAAACTTTGACTTCATTTGTGTAACAAACCAGCTCCTTGTCTGGTCTGCGCAACTAGTCAGCAAATGAATGAAAGGATGTACCGTACTCTGCCTTTTGCTTTATCATGTTCATCGGCCCGTGTCCACTTACCCAAGCACGTCAGCTTAGCTCACCATAATCACCATGCTCTTGCCAAGACACCTCTTGACAATCCTCGCAGCTCGCGCTTCCTTCGAAGAAAGCCCACTATGATGCATTGAATTGCATTGATGTGCCAGGAAAACAGAAACAATGTTCTCGATTCTCGCTCAATCTCAGACTAGCAGGATTCAAGCTCGCAGTCCGCGATGCACGCAGCGCACAAAGCCATAACATTGATGAGTTTCCCTAAAATAATCTAGGAAGCAAATCATTCGTGCGAGCGCTTCTTCAAGCAATCTCCCCCCCCGCCCTCAGGTTGGGGGAGCTTCCTTGAAGAAGCGCGAGCTATCCTGCGTCCACTTACTAGATGCTAGCTAGTAGCTGAAGTAGCTAGAAGCTTACTCCCTTACTTAATTACAGTAAGTAGGCGCCTACTTAATTAAGTGCGGCACGGCCTCCAAGACCTCCCACTCCTTGCCACCAATGCATCCAAGCGACTCACCGGCTCATCATCCAATGGATCCGATTCTTCCTCCACCGCTGTGCTGATCAGCATGGCAACACTGCCTCAAACTCCCGTCAGTTCCCCGTCTAACAGTCATGATCGGCAAATGAGGCCGTATACAAACACCATAAGTTTCGCGGTTACCCAAAACACATTATATAAGGTTTTACATGTCATGTCATGAGACCGCGGGATGCCGCTTGGCCGGCTCCACACTGAAATGGTCGGAACTGGAGCTCAGCTCCAAGTGTCCCTGCCTTCAAGAAACTTCGCAGTCTGCGCGCTGGGCTTCAGCAAGCGAGATGCTAGCTTCACCTGTTTGCGGTGAATCTTTCTCAGCAAAATCCTACAAATCATACAAAATCAAAATAGAAAATAACAAGAAGCTACTAGTAACAAAGGGCATCGCTACTAGGAGCAAGAACGCTACTAGTAGCTCCTGGCCTTACTAGGAACAAGGATGCTACTAGTAGCAAGGACGCTATTAGGTTTTCAGTCTAAAACGTCCATCATGTTGCTCTTTGCTCCACATGTTCGAGCATAAGGCTACTCCATGCGTGCAAGGCTTGCAAAGGCCACCTCAATCTCATGCTTCACAGGCCAGCGTGGTTCCGTGTCAAAAAAAGCGCACGATGTAGCTCGTGACCTGAAAGTACAAGGTCTGCAACTCCTCAAAGGAGGTCCCTTCGCATAGAATGACACGTCCCTTCGCGCATCTGATTCATCTGATTCTTTAACAACCGAAACTTATCTAGCTGAATCTAGCTCTACGCTTCTTTTTTTGCTTGCACATCAGCCACATACTTTATTTCCAAGCAGCCTCATCCACTTGGGAGCTAGGACTTGCCCACTTAAGCAGCAAGCGGTCATACCTGGCGCGTTGATCCTATTCAACCAACTCGAACTGATGCAGCTTGTACGCTACGCTCGATGCTGGGCACACGGTTGAACAAAAGCACTTTAGATCTTCATAGATCTTCTTTATACTTCTTGAGTTCCTTTCTTTCTTCCTTGGTTCGTGGGACTAATTCCCTTCCCCCCCAGCCTGGCACACTTCAAGCGCGGTGCAGCATGCAGTGGTGGAGCCACAGCCAATGTCTGACACCTTGTCACGGTCTTTCGGTATAATGCACAGAATGCATCAGAATCAACGTCACAGCGGCAAAGAAATGCAAATGTACAGCAGCAACCAGCAAAAGCACGTGTTTCTGACCTTCGAGGCGTACTTTTCTTGAAGCCTCCAACATCCAAGCGGACCTAGGCTTGGGTGACAATGAAGCAGCTAAGCAGGTCTTCCTACAAGACCTTGAAAGGATTAAAGAAAGGTTGACTGCCGCCTCTTTGATAACGCCCCATTTAAAGGCGCCTCATTAAAGAGGCCCTGGACACCTTGGTAAGTATTTCTTTCCAAACATTTAATTCTCTATACATGATTGTACATGTACAAGTCGGCTGCCTGCAGTCCAAGATGCATCATAGGACCCGAGCGGTTCGAGGCCGCGCAAGGTTACAGTTACAGCGTACGGAGGAAGCTCTTCTACCTTGGAGGCCATCGCTCTTGGGTTGGAGTAACAAGAAGCTACTAGTAACAAAGGGCATCGCTAGGAGCAAGGACGCTACTAGTAGCTCCTGGCATCGCTACTAGTAACAAAAAGCTCTTTTACCTTGGAGAAAAATGGTCTCCCGACTTCTTTGGGCACATGCTGGTAAGCGGCTGGTAAACCAGAAGGGTAGGTCGTGAGGTGAGGTTAAGTAGCTAGTAGGAATCCGGTAACTATTAAGCTTAAGAAGCTATTACATGCTATTACCACCACCTAGCTGTTTTTCCTTTTCTTTTGCCCGTTGCCCTGCCTCCTTACTTAACTAGCCGCCTACTTACTGTAGTTAAGTAAGGGAGTAAGCTTCTAGCTACTTCAGCTACTGCCTACTGCACGCAGGATAGCTCGCGCTTCTTCAAGGAAGCTCCCCCAACCTGAGGGCGGAGGAGAGCTTCCTTGAAGAAGCGCTCGCACGAATGATTTGGTTCCTAGATTATTTTAGGGAAGCTCAATGTCTTCAGCTCTCTTCGCCAAGCATCTTCTTCACAAAGGGAAGAGGAGCTTGCAGTGCGGGGCTGTATGCTGATGTCGTCTGTCGATAGTGTGACTTGCCTCTGGGAGATACAACTGAAATTGCTTCGAGTGTTTGTTTGTCATGGAAAGGAGATGAATTTGCAAACATAACATGAGATGGAGCTAGTGACTAGGCAACTAGATAGAAGAATCTGCGCATAAGATTCAGCATGGCAGCTGTAAATCGCAAACATTCTCATTACTGCAAAGGAAAGAAGCTACTAGGGCATCGCTACTAGGAGCAAGGACGCGACTGATCCCGTTGCACCTCCAAGCGCCTGCAAGAATCCACCCAGAGGGTCGCCACTCAGCCTTGATGTCCTCCACTTTGGTCTCCACTGGGACCTGGATCAAAATCAAACGTCGGCTTAGAGATCCTGTAGATAGTGAATGATGCTGAGCAAAAGCAAAACGTTGAACGCAAAACAACAAATCCCGACGGCGCACCCGCCATCGTAGGGTCACACTGGAGCTTCCTGCGCTAATCAAAGTCGGAGCATCACCTTAGCTCGGATCCAGCTTCGCAACTAAGTGATCGACTCACTCACAGGAATAGCTAGGGACATGCTAGAAATCACTTGACTGTTCTACCATCCTCTGCAATGAATTTGAAACACCTTTGGATGCTACTAGGGGCTCCTGGCATCGCTACTAGGAACAAGAAGCTACTAGGGGCTCCTGGCCGCACTACTAGGAGCAAGGACGCTACTAGGAGCAAAGGGATGAGTAGCCGAGATTCTGCGGGGTGAGGGAGGCTGCTGAGGTTGATGGTGATGTCCGTCGTCCAACATGTGCTTAACCCATCTCACACCCCCAAAAAGGCAAGTTGTGCGATGTTGTAACTTGTCTGGCTGCGTAGCTTCTTGGAGCATGTCTCTTGCCATTCATGTCCCCACAAGGCGATCTCTTGTTGTTCCTAACATATTGCGGAAGCATTCTTCGCGAACAACGTGATTCTTAAAATGTTTCCAGAGCCAAGACCGGCCTTGGAAGGCTTTTGACAGGGAGTTGAAAGCTCTGTGTCCGAGTTGAAACCGCAATGGCTCTGTGTCCACACCTACAACCTATGGGCTTCTTTTGATCCACGAAAGTGCGGCATCTCGTGCAGCTCGCTGTTAAGATGTGAAGCCTGTGAGCCGTAAATGCGAGGCGACAAGCACAACCGCTACAGCGGAGCAGCCCAGAAGCCAGCAGCTGCAGCTAAAAGCAACTCCATGGCAACAGAGAAACTGCGCCTCGAACCATACACAGGGAAGAACGTTAAACAATGGCAGCACTGTTCAATGCGAATCGCAGAAAACTCGGCACACACTGCATGGCTCTTGGATACCAACAAATGGAGCACATAATTCAAGGTACACAAATCCTTATAATATGCTATATTTTATTTGCAGCCAAGAGCAAGCCAGGTGGGCCTGCTGACTATTGCGAAAACAATCAATTGGATGAAGGGGCAAAAGAGTTCAGATGAATGAGTTGAAGTTTCTCGTCAGTGTGATAACCTCTTACGAACAATAAGATTCGTGTTGCTTTGTTTTGGAATGTTCAGGTTCTCTTTCACCTCACTGTGGCGCCACCAGCACCGAAAAAGGAGTCTGAAAGCTCAGGAGATGTCTTCGAAGTCCCCATCTGTGGCAAGATCCTGAGCGTCAAGTATGAAACAACTCGTTCGATCCATTCTGCATGTCTGCAGTGTTCGACTGCTGGAATTCAAACAAATTAGTTATATCACCGCGCAAGGATTAGCACTTGGAGGCCGTAAAAAAAAGTCCATGTAGGTAACTTTGAGAGTCTTGAACAAAATCACGAATGAACTGAAGCCCTGAAGCTGGTACTTTCATTCTGAGGCCCATGCTTCCGTTGCATCTAGGAGGTACGTCTGGAACCTCAGTGGCACAAACGGGGATGGCATGAATCAGACTGTACGGAAAGCAAACGCTTCTTTTTGGCCCGCTCCAGTAGGCGATTACTTTATCAAGAAGAGACAACTTGTTCGCTACTAGCAATACTTAAGCTTCTATATATACCTACTGGACACAGGATAGCGCTTGCAGTAATGATCTTGTTCTTAGACTTTTAGAGAACTATATAGATGTTTCGCTGCTTTGCGCTTCCGACTTCCATGTTTCAAGGCCCCGGCTCTTTCAAGTAGCCGGCCACTTCCTTGTGAAGCACCATGAAGGCATCATAATCCTGGCGAATCAGATTTGACCTGTCCGGATTTCTCTTCCGACTGCTTACATCCCCATTGGCCCCTGTGTCGCTGTGTCTCTCTCCTCTGTCTCTCTCTCTCTCTCTCTCTCGCTCTGTGACACTCTCTCTTAATTGTTGGTTATGTTAAGGCAACTGAAAACGCACCGAGCACTGCACGCAAGCGTATCACGTAGGTTTCTCCGCGGATATCATAAATTCCAGGTCTCTGGATGTCTCTGTTCTGTACGACTCTGCCTTGGCCTTCACCGGTTTGTCGGATGCTTTGACCTTCTTTCTGAAGTTCTCAATCAGATCCTGTACCTGAAGGATTGTGCAAGAGTGTGACCCTGTCACTCAAAACTGCGAAGGCTCAAGTCTCACATTGCACTCTGCCTCCTGCTTCTTCTCGTTCTTAAATCCTGCCGCCATCGCTATTTGTCCAATCACCCCGAAGCATTCAATGATATTCTGATGTTCAATCATTCATCGATCTCTTCGTAAATGGTTGCTCTTCTTGTTACTACTAGTAAGGCACTTGTTCCTAGTAGCGATGCACTTGTTCCTAGTAGCTTCTTGTTACTACTAGTAAGGCACTTCTTCTGAAGTGAAAGGAAAAACCACCTCGTGACAAATATTTCATGTCGTCGTTCAGACCGTAGATTCGCCTGCGACAATTTGTATGCTCAGTTTTTGAATGGCACTGGCGAAGAACCACACACATTACATGCGAATGAAGGCCATGCAAAGTGTTGTGTCTTCAGAGTGTTCCTTTCAAGCAAAAAGTATCAAAAAGCTCTTGGTTGCACTTGAGCGCTGTTGCATCTGCCATGCTGTGCCAAATTCTGGTCGAAGCCTGAGAAAGCCAATGGCATCGTCCCACTCCTGGCAGCACGCAAAAACGAAGCATGCTCCTAGGTTCGCAAAAACATCTCGCTGCAAATTGCGCCTTGTCTTTTTCCTCTGATGTGAGCTTCTCCGGTAGCTTGTTCCAAGCCTGGTCCACACGCACTGAAAGCTTGTTCGAGCTCAGTGCCTGGTTTGAATTTGCTTCAAAAATGGACTACTAGTATTGGAAAGTATTGGTGTGTCTTAGATATCGCCATCTCTCGACACTGGACGTTTTCAAAAGGATTGCATCATATTGCATCTTTTCAGTTGAAAATATCGTGTTCCCCTCAGCTTGGGTAAGGGCCCAGCCTCCAGCCCTTTACGGATTCGATCTTCCTGTCTGGCCCCGGAGGGTAGTGAATCACCTGCAGAGTTCATCAAGGCACTCCAGTCACGTCAATCTCAACGCTAACACCACACAAGATTAATTTAAGCCTCCCAGCAATGTTTGATATTATGACCATAACTAAAGCCTATTAAAATAGTGCACATGTTTGAGGTATGTCAGACCGATCACACCCGACTCACCTTCTCCCACGTCAGCTCGAGCTTTCGGTGTGCCAAAAAGAAAGGCCGCTGCTGCCGCCGCCACCAAGTCACGGCCTTGCGCAAAGGACTCCAAAGGCATCCGGCAGCGATTTGGAAGGGTGTCGCTGCAGTGCCCATGGTCGTTACACTCCAGCTTTGCTTGAGCTCGAGTAGTTTTATGCCTTCCAGTGCTGGGGGTTCTGGAATTGTGCATGTCCAAGCTCCAAATGGTACAGTTCATGCAAGTTCTCGGTGAGACAAGCACGCAGACCGTCCACCTCATGAATCAATTGTTTTATTCACTCACAGGACACATATGGATGTCTGTACGCGTCATGACTATGTCGAACTCAATTTATGCTGGTTTGGCGCTTCTAGGAGCTGGACGGCTAGATGCCTTGGCCTCAACACGGAAAGCTGTGGAAAAAGAAAAAGAAACCGACTAGCAATGGCCTCCACCCTACTACGGATGGCCTCTACCCCCCCAGAGTTGTTAAAAAATCAAGAACACAGCATGAGGCAGCTTGGTTTGGTCCATGTTTTCCCTTTAGCATCCTTTAGCTATCGGTGACGAGTGTCCATGCACATGATTTTTGTATTTCGAGACAGTACGCTCTGCAGTGAGAATGGAACCCCAAGCTGCTGACGCAGCAATAGAACTGGCATCCCTTGAATCAGTTGAGACAAGGAACTCCGACGAGCTCTTCAAGCTGCGCTGAAATGGATGCCTTCCATTCAGGTCAAACTTGTTCGCATCTGATCATGGTCTCTTGTCATCCGACACTTGCCGTGCATTCCAAATCTACATGCTGCTTGGACATAGTTCAATCAGCGTGAGTTCAGTGCTTTCTTGAGCGAAGTATGTGCAGCTCGGGCTGTCACAAAATGTCTTGTGTTGTATGAGAGCTCTCTGCAATACAGTACGTCTCTATCTGTCACATGTCCAGCAGTTTGAGGACTCCCTACAACATGTGGTGAAGGATAAAAAATGTCTGGGATGGCATCATTGTTGGATGAAGGAGTGAGATGAAGGGATTCGAGCATGGACTAAGTATTGCATGGCCGCCCACGAGGACAAATTGGATGGAACCAGCATCATAGTGAAAAAATGTGAAAGGAAACATCGTAGTGGATGGGCGACTAGTGATAAAATTTTGAAATATGCAAAGATGAAACAAAAACTCTTACTACTAGCGATGCACTTGTTACTACTAGCTTCTTGTTACTACTACGAGGCGATAGTGCGGGAGCGGGCGAGACCATGCTGAAAGTGTGACTCTCGTCTTTCGCCCTTCGCCCTTCCATGCCTTCTGCTGCTTCAGTTCATCTCGCTTTTGCAAAATCTTTTCCTGTCGCTTTCAACAAGCGACAAGAAGTTAGCAGAGCTTTCTCAGGTCTTGTCTTAGCCACTTCCAGGACTGCAAAGGGTCCTTGGCAGTGGGATTTGCACGCTCCTGCCAAGGAAACAGCCATGCTGCATACAAGCAAGGCAAGAGGTGAACAAACAGGAAGCGTACCATGAATTGGGGTGTAATCTTCTTCTCCGTGCTTTCAAGCAAAGCGGAAACCTCACGAGACAAGCGGCTTGGACTCGAACTGACGCGCTGCACCTCTTCTAAAAAATATGCACCTGGTTCAGCTGCTTTTCCAAACGTTGCAGCTCCTCACCAATTCTCTTTGACTCCAACTTCGCTTTTCCATGTCAGTTTCTTCCTTCCATAGGCCGGCTGCCCCTCATTGTCATTCTCTCACATCAACTCGAGAATTTCTTCGGCTCCTTCTCGACATCAATTTCTTTCTCCGGCACCGGCAGGTCCACCTGTGACTCGGTCGGCGCTGAAACCCGTTTCGTGAATCCTCCAACTGATTGAGCGATGCCCTTTGCTCCTAGTAGCGATGCCAGGAGCCCCTAGTAGCGAACATTGCTCCTAGTAGTAAGGCCAGGAGCCCCTAGTGGTGTCCTGGCTCCTAAGAGCGATGGCCTCCACCTAATAGCATCCTAATAGCATCCTTTCAAAATTCATCCATGACTTGTCAAAGTTCAATGTTTCAATGTCATCGTTGATTCGTTTTGCATCTGAAAAGGTCGACAAGGGATCTATGATCTATCCTTCAGCTATTTCAGCTCACGCTGCCCTGAACAAATGATTAAGAAATAACATGAAATAACTACCTCAATCTCCTCCGACACGACCACGCGAATGCACCCGGAAGGCCTCACAAATCATAAAACAAAAGAAGGATAAAGGTGAAACAATCGCAAGACAAGCGTCCTAGAAGCAATGGCCTCCAACCTAATAGCGATGGCGTCCAACCTAATAGCGATGGCCTCCAACCTACTAACGATGGCCTCCAACCTATATAATAGCGGTGGCCTCCAACCTACTAGCGATGGCCTCCAACCCAATAGCGATGGCCTCCAACCTAATAGCGATGGCCTCCAACCTACTAGCGATGGCCTCCAACCTCGAAGCAATGGCCTCCATACGCTCCAAGACCAACTGGTGAGCTGAGCTTCAAACATCTCGCTTGGACGTTCAGACATGGCCCTTGCCTCCCCAGTTCGACATGTTCTAGAATCTGACTGTGTTCGTGAATTGATACATGTCATTACTATAAATGATTATGAATAATCAAAGCCAATGATGCAACATTATGCAACAATGGTTAAGCCGAAAACATCAACAAAGTCTGGTGCAATCTGACAAATGAGATGGTCAAGTGCTGTGGAACTTGGATGATAGGGATCAGTCACCTCGATCTTGTCAGGGTCAGCTCGCGCAAGCCACGCCAGTGCAGAGCCTCAGTCGCCATCAGCTGGCTTCGTCGGCTGTTGTTTGTGAGCTGAACCGAGCAATGCTCTTGAGGCGCTGGCTCTCTGCTTTCAATGCCTCCTGAAGTTCCATAAATACTTCTAGGTAGGAGGCCATCGCTACTAGGGTGGAGGCCGTCGCTATTAGGTCAGAGGCCATCGCTTCTAGGTAGAAGGCCATTGCGTCAATACCTCTCCGTCAACTCTGCCCTCAGCATCTTAGAGGTGTTTGTTTGATGCTCGATCTAACTGCGCCAAATGGTGTCCTGGAAGCTGGCATCTGCACACCAGAATGTAAGAGCCACGCGCTCCTGCAGGGCCACCCTCCCTTTGCCAGCAGCCAAGTCTCAGGGTCGTTGTGCAATGTGCTCTACAAGCGTCCTTGCTCCTAGTAGTAGGGCCAGGAGCCCCTAGTAGCGTCATTGCTCCAAGTAGCGATGCGCTTTGCTACTGCTGTGCATGTTGCACCCACTTGTTGACATTTGTCACCCGCCTTCGGTGGGATACCTTGCTCCGCACGCGCATTGCGCACGGCCGATGTGAGTCCACAAAGCTTCTCGAACCATCCTGCATCCGTGCTGCCGCCGATGTGGGAAACGTTGCAAAGATTGGCCGAGTGCTAATTTGACGTTTTTCGAATCAAGTGCATCGCTACTAGTAGGGATGCACCTTGCTACTAGTAGCTTCTTGCTAGTTCAAAGGAGTTTTAACTTCCAGAAGTCTTGAGGGCATCTTGGAGGTCTCTTCTGCCTTCGGCTTCGACATCTGTGGCAGATGACATGCGAGGCCTCAAGGAAGCGCTAGGGCTGCTAGTAGCGTCCTTGCTCCTAGTAGCGATGCCCTTTGTTCCTAGTAGCGTCCTTGCTCCTAGTAGTAGGGCCAGGAGCCCCTAGCAGCTTCTTGTTCCTAGTAGCGATGCCAGGAGCCCCTAGTAGCATCCTTGCTCCTAGTAGCGATGGCCTTTGCTACTAGTAGCGTCCTCTTGCACATCTAAGCGCGTTGCCAAGGGCAAATCATCAGGGACTCTGGAGACCTCACTCTAGGCAACACTGGGCATCGTTGGAGCACCATCGATGGCCTCCAACCTACTAGCGATGGCCTCCAATGTGTTTGAAAGCAAAATAGAAAAAAAACAGTTGTTTGCGCTTGTTATTCTCAAAGCTGTTTTGGGCTGGCATGGCAGTTCATGTGATTTCAATCAACTGGAACTTCATTTTTGAGTCTGGCGCGGGGCGTCGCGTGGCAATCGCTGCCACACAGCCTAGACACAACAACGTGCAATGTAACAAACAATCTTTTCATAGTTCACTGATGTTCACCTTCATGACGCTACTAGGGGCTCCTGGCCTTACTCCTAGGAACAAGAAGCTACTAGGGGCTCCTGGCATCACTACTAGTAACAAGAAGCTACTAGGACCTTGACTCTTTTCTTTATCTTCTTCACTCTTGACAGTTGGCCCTGAAGGTCCTCGGTCACAAAGGGCATGAAGGGGTGGAGCAGCTTCAGTGAAACCTCGCTTTCGTCCGATAGTCTCCGTCAAGAAAGGTCAGGATCAGGGTTGGGGATATGGACACATTTCTCATGCCCGCAAGCTTGGAAGAGAAGGGGACATAGCGCAAGACGTCGCAAGACGTGCATGTCCTCACCCAGACCCTCCCACCTCCAAGAGGTACAACAGCACTTTCTGGGAGGTTGCTGCCTCTGAAGTGAAAAGGAAAGAAACATATATTCTTTATAAAGAAAGAATTGTCTTAAAGAAAGAACAAAAAAGCTGCCGTTGCCTCAGTTCATTCATTACATGTTTTCCCCAACAAAAACACGGATGAGTCGCCTCGGAACTTTTCGGATCGCCACCTTGGTCAAAGGAAAAGAACAGGGATGCTTGAGGCAATCGGTTCGCTGTGTATTGCTGCCAACCGGAACACTGGTCACCGCTGAACATCAAAAATAGAGGTCTTCTAGTCAGTGAAGGATCACTCTATTGGCCTTAGGCCTCAGGAATCCCTGGCTTGTTTACGAAAGCAACAACAAACTCAGCTGGCTAACAAGACCCAAACACCCTCACATAGTCACACCACACAACAGGCATGACAAACCATGACAAGCTGGCAACTGATTGCTGTACCACATCGTCCAACTGGAGAATTTCCAAGAAGCAGGCCCAAGTGTTCTTGGAGCCTTGTCTTGGAAGCTTCAACCTGGCAGGCCCAAGAGCTACTAGGGGGCATGGCGTATTAGGTTGGAGGCAAACGCTAGTAGGTTGGAGGCAATTGCTATTGGGTTCCTTTTGCTATAAGGTAATGAAACTGGTAATGAAGGGTTCTCTTGTAAAGGAACAAACAAGGGTTCGTGTTCACAGTAGGGAGTGGCCAGGAAGTGGCAACACGCAGGTTCTCTTGAGGGTTTTTGGATCAGAAAAGGCGTTGGATTTGGAGTCGAGAACGCTCGGGAAGCCTTCCTTTTCACGAAACAAGGTGCGCGGTGTGTTCTTCACATGCAAGGTGCGCATACCAGGCTGCTATGTCTTCTTGTAGAAACTCTTTGATGTCCTGCAAGTTCAGAGCTGTTAAGGTCGCTTGCTGTCACATCCAGCTGCTAGACGGAACAAGTCCAAGCAAACTACCCACCTTGGTTGGAGGAGCAAATCGGTTCTCCAGCAGTGCAGATGTGACATTCTTGCAAAGGCCTTGGCACCTTAGTGCCAATTAAAGACAGCCGGTCTTGGCCTAAAGTCCTAGAGCACATATTGGATTTCTGAATGACTTCCATCCAGCTTAAGACACTGAGCTCCAAAGCTTTGAGAGTAGCGCACGCTCAAGCCAAGGCCTTGGGGTCGAATGACGAATGAACAACTTGAGAAGATATGATGCAAGTACTGATTGAAAACCCAAAGCCTTGCAAACATGCAACGTAAGTTTCCCTAAAAATCTAGAAACTAAATCATTAGTGCGAGCGCTTCTTCCAGGAAGCGTGAGCTATGCTGCGTCCTGCCGGTAGTAGCTTCCTTAAGCTACCAGCTACCTCTTGCGGCCTCTTACGGCCCCCCCCCCCCCCGGGCTAGAATAAGGAAACAAAATCTGATGCCCTTTGCTCCTAGTAGCGAACATTGTTACTACTAGTAAGGCACTTGTTCCTAGAAGCGTGGCACTTGTTACTACTAGCGTCTCTTGTTACTATGGTTTCTTGAAGGAAACTTCCTTTTCTTAAAATCCTGAACATTCTCGTCGGAGAACTTGCTGAGGACTCTACATGGCTTTGATCTCCTCCTCTGTAAATGTCATGCCGCTCTGAAAGGACTTGGTGCAGTGCAGGCGCTCGCAATCTCTGGCGAGCTTTTGTAGAAGAAAACAAAATCCGTGTTGTCTGAAAGGGGTCCCAAAGGCATAAAATACAACGTACACTGTTGCGAACGGATCAGTCTCGACCGCACGGAGGCTGAGAAACACACAATTGGCACTACGCCAGCATTCTTCTCGTACTCAGTAATGATGAAGCGTCCAACATTCCAGATCTTGTTCGCAAAAGCCTCACAGGCGTGCCCCCCCTCCGCCCTACTAGCGGCCTCCAACCTACTAGCAACCTTTTTCAGGTTTGGAAGAATGAGATGAAAGTCTCTCTAAGGCCCTGAAGGCATTCGTTGGGTTCACCTTGGCATTCTCCAACATGCCCTTGCTGATCGGCACATCCATTCCTGGCACCTTATCGAAAGAAATTTGCAGTCCAAAATTCAATGCGTCCTTTTCTATTTTTGTTCTATGTGTTTTCTGCTTCTCAAGAAGGCCCTCAGTTTCGACCCCCAAAAGGAAGAAACCCTCAGACACCGGCACTGCTCGTCAGCAATGCGTATCTGAGCGCATCGGTGCCATATTCGGCAATCGAGTCCAAAGGATCCACCACATTGCCTCACTCTCGTCGCTCTCATCACTCTCATCACTTCATGCAAAAAAATAACAGTGAAAACATATACTGGTCAGTGAGTCGATGATTGTAATGGCATGTTTTATAAACATGTTCTTAATTGGACTATTTGGCAAAATATTATGCAAATGATTGTTTTTGATTTCCGTTGACTTTTGTAGGAATCTTAGTTGAACATTTTATACCAAAGCATAGAACGGTGCCCCTTAGTTTCGGGACACATAAATCCTTATAAAATCTGATTCCTTGCAAAACGACCACACTATAAAATGTAACACCCTTAGTCAGGAATCACCTCATGAGAACTATACGGGAAATTGCGTTGACTTAAAATTCACAACTGCCATCTCCGAGATGAAAACCTAACAATCAAAAAATACTGTGGCTCTATAGTGACAACAAAGGTATCCCGACAAACTTCCACAACCTTTCCGACAACTTGCAAGCTTGATGCAAAAATTTCCAAGCAAAAGCAGTGGGGATCACTTTTCTGCTCTGAAATGGTGCTGATATGTTGAGACATGAATCATTCTGATTCGTCAACCCCCTGTTCCAAACATTTCAGATCTCAACATCGCGCGACTTGTCGACTGTACACCGTCTGCTGCTTGCCTCGTCTATGCTCATCTAGTGATCTAGTTTGTCCCCACATAGCGAGAGCCATTGGGGTTCCTACTTCAAGGAAGAGGTGCTCGCGTATGCTTTGGAGCTTGGGCGCTGGTGCCGCTGCAGGGGCGCCGCTGCTATCAATGGCAGAATGCGCTTGTGGAGGCCGATCCAGCACCACCGTCAGCACCAGCACGGGCACTTCCGTGCGCCTGTCTCGCGGCGCGGCGCTGGTCTCCGTTGGCGCGCGGCGGTGTCTGCAAGGAACCTTGACTGCCGCCGCTGCGGGGACGCCTGACCTTCAGCTTCTTTCAGCTTCTTCACATCGCCCTTGCTGGCGCGAGAGTATTCCAAGCCTGCCGTGGCCGTCGCTGCCGCGGCGCGGCCTGCCAAACACAGTTTCCACGCCTTCGCGGCTGAAGGCTCAGCCGAATTCCCTTTGCGCCATGTAGGCAAGGGCTGCGCAGCCGGAGAGCTTCTTCTTTCGACCGGCGCGCCCCGGATATGTTGCGGCGCTTTATTTAGATACCGGATGTCACTGAATCCAAGTCGGCTCCTTTCTCTAATGTCTATTTGTCTACCTGTCTCAAGCCCCCGCCGGCTTAGTTTCAAATTTTTGGCCGCGCTACAGATTCCCTATCTCTCCACTTGTCCATGCATCTATTTCTTTCTCTCTTTCTATCTACCTACTATCTATCCCTCCATCCATCCATCCATCCACCCACCTATCTATCTATCTGTCTATCTACCTACCTATCTATCAATCTATCAATCCATCTATCTATCCTCCGTCTATCTATTGGTCTATCTATATATCTAGCTTAATCCATCTGTCTATCTATCTATCGGTCAATCTACATATCTAAAGCTTCTATCTGTCTATCTGTCATTCTGTGTATCTATCTGTCTATCTATCTACCTATATCTATTATCTATCTATCCATCTCTCTAACATTGCAATTTAAAGTAACTAACTGTCTATCTCCGAATGTCATGCTTAGACATGTTTCACGTTTCTCGAAAAATGGTGCACCTCCTGTGCTCTGCAGGATCCTTGCCTGCCCGACGCCACGCGCGCGTTTCCAGGTTTCACTTATTTGTCCTTCTTGAGGTGCGCGTCGATCCAGACATGCGGGAGCTGTTCCCGCTCGGTGCCTCGGGGGACCCAGGAGGGCATCGACTTTAAAGTCGATGCAAACTTTGCTACCACCTGAAAGGGGCTGCCTAGCCTAAGCGGTGGTAGTAGTCGAACATCCTCTCCATGTAGGCCTGCGATCACACGGGTTCGGTTGCACGCACGCAGCGTGCGTCGTTCCAAGGCTCAACCATCTGCGGGCTGACGGTGAGCGGATCCACTTCGTCTTTGAGCGCCGTCAGCGATGGCCCCAGCAACTCCAGCACCAAGTTCTTCAAGGCGTGCAAACGCGGCACGCCGTAGCCACCCTGACGCCCCCTGAGGACTTTCGCCTCCTCAACAGCAACTGTCTCCGAATTGTGGGCAATTGTTCATTGTGAATCAGACTTGACACCCCGGCGCACAATGCCCTCTGTATTGAAAATGAATACTGCAGGCAACGGTCGTCCACACATCAGGCGCGAACTCCTAGAACAATCTGCGCACCAAGGCGCCATCCGCAAAAAATATTGCCACCTAAACAAGGCGTGGAGGCGCGGCATTCCTTCGCCGTCTAGAAGCTTTTTGAGGACTTTGGCCTTTTAGAGGATCACGTTCGTCTTGATCTGTGCTCTCATGTGCTCTTGTTGTGAAACATGTGTCTGCCTCCGTGTTTCATCCTTGGTGCTTTTGCTTGATACACGGGCATGTCTGAAACTTGGAAGCTTTTTGAAAAAAAATATGTTGCGTAGGCGTTGATTCACAAAAGTTGCTTCGATGGGAGAACTGCGGAGTCTAATAAACTCGGAGGCCGTGGCTTTCAACAATACCCCGCAATTTGCGATGGCTTCTGCCAAAGAACCCTTGAAATCCGCCAACCCGGCTCCGGGCATAGGGTAGGATAAAATATTTAGGTTAGGCCTTTTTACCCTCGGGTCCGTATGTTTTTGTTGTCATATTGTTGTGGCATAGCGAGTGCTAAGACATTGTAGAAAACGCTAGCTTGATCCGGGCAGGTATTGATCTGCACTCTAAAGAAAGCTCTAGCCAGCTCTAAGGCCAGTTTGGGCATGCAATGATAGAAAACTCCAGCCAAAGAGAGTATGCCATAGAAAGCTCTAGCCCAATCGGGGCGTATACGGATCTACACACCATAGAAAGCGTAGGGTCAGTCCCTTTAAAGGGGCCAAATTAAGGCCTTCCTTTTTTTCATAGCGTTTCCTCGTTTATGTTCTGTTCCGTATGATTCAACAGGCCTTTGGTTTTGCTCATCTTCTGGCCCTTCTCATCTCTCACAAGGCCATGCAAGTAGATCTCCTTGAAGGGTGCCTTCAAGACTTCAAAGGCAACTTTCATGCCAAAAGTGGGAACAAAAGAAACCTAATAAAAAGAAAAGACAAGAAACCTAATAGCGATGGCCTCCACCCTAGTAGCAATGGCCCCCAACCTACTAGCGAGAGCTTGCCACAGCTTGAATGCGAACCTTGTCAGTTAGAGTCAGCCCCATCATGACCATGCGAGCAACCCAAAAGAACAAAATATCCTGGCCAAGTGCAACTCGATTGTGACATGTGTAAACTACAACTGTCTGCATCTAGAGGAGATATTTGCGCTCACAAGCTGGTCGGATGCACATAACCGGTCTCCATCATGGTGGCCTTTCAGAACTCAAGCATTGGTATTGGACATGCACAGAGCAACTCAGACAGCAATGTAAGGCATTGCACTGAGAAGTGAGCTGGATAGTATTTCTTGTAGTCCTCTGAGTCTTCGCTTGGCCATCCCACGGTAGCAAAGGGCCACAGTCCTGACCTTGACAATACTGATCCGATTCCCAACTGATATCCACCAAAAAGACGTAGAGTGATGGCAGTGCACACACTGGCTCTTGATCGCTTGCTCATGAACTTTGATCAGACAGTATGAGGCAAGTGGTATCACAGCATCTGAGCCGTGGCCAAAGCCAATAACGAGTGCTCCATGGTCGCAACTGATCTAGGCCCAGCACGAGAACCAAGTGTCCAACACATCCTCGTCTTGCTTTAACTCCACGTCCTGCAAGGTTGACTGCTTACTGCTAATTAATCAGCCCGGTGCAGGGAGGAGACCTGATAGACAGGATCGTTTCAAGTTCCCAACGCGGCCTCGCCCAGTTCTTTCCGGGCAGCTTCCAGTGCCTGTGCAAGACTCTCTGCCATGATTCTGTTGCTGATGGATGTGTCAATCATGTGAGCTTGGGCTGAAAATTGTATTTCTGCAAACCAAACCGTCTTTCTATTCTTTTCTAGATATCGTCCAGTATTTCTCCCCGGACGGCTCTGGCGACAGGCTCAAAGCTTCTCAAAGATACTGGCATCCGACCGCAGCCTCTTTGGGCTCCAGCTTCAACACGCTACTAGTAACACGGTGCATCGCTACTAGTAGCGAGGACGCTACTAGTAACACGGGCATTACTACTAGTAGCAACCGTTGAACAATGTTGAACATCTGTCGATGCTTTACAACAACAAGTAGCACACATGCAGTGCTGCGGTGTGCAAAGCCAAATGGAGACGTGACCAATGCAAAAACAACATAAGACAACACAAACAGCTGAACGGTTTCCATCACAATTGCCGTGAGTCTGCTATCTACTATCTACTCAAAAGCTACTTGTTCTTTTCACCTTTCTCACTCTTCCCATCCAGTTTGCAATCTTTGCAATCAGATGGCATGGGCAGCTGGACACTCGTGGCTGGGCCTCACGACTTGGATGCAGCAGCTCTTTCTAAAAAAAAAAAGGTGTAGAGTGTAGAGCAAGTGTGGGGTTCGCCCTCTTTCAAAGCGCTCAACATGGCAGGTCATTTAACATGTTTACTTGACCAAGAAAACATGCTGTGAAGTGCTTCTACAATTTGGAGTTCCCAGATCGGACAGGTGGCGCTTCTCTCCACTTTGAGGACTCACACGGGACTCCAAGTCCTCGGATTCGACTTTGAGAGGTTCCGTGCAGCTCAATGCAGCTTGCTTCAGCTTCTCTATCCAAGGCACAGAGACACTGAGGACACCAGCATGAGTACTTCCATCTGCGAAGGTCCAGAAAGGAATTGCATCAACGCCCGCCTCAAAGCACCTTAGCACAGTTCCAATCGAGCAAAATAATTTACAAAGAACTTTGGCATACTTAGGAGCAAAGACGCTACTAGGGGCTCCTGGCGTTACTATTAGGAACAAGAAGCTACTAGGAGCAAAGGGCATCGCTACTAGGAGCAAAGACGCTACTAGGGGTTCCTAAGGGAAGGACGCTTCTTGTTCCTAGTAGCGATGCCCTTTGTTCCTATAGTTAGTAGCGTCCTTAGTCCGTGTCCAATCGTCTTGACATATTTATCGCTTCTAGTAACAAGTGCCTTACTAGTAGTAACAAGAAGCTACTAGGAACAAGTGCATCGCTTCTAGTAACAATAAAACTTGCTTGATTGAAACAGGGCACTTCTGAGGCTCGGCTTGCGAGTTCCCTGCAAGCGAATCGAGTTCAGTGTTTTCACAAAGATTGCCTTCTGAGTCCTCTTTGCATTCCTTGTTACTGCAACTCGACTCTGGATTTCAGTTTGTGTAATTATATATAGCCTATAGGGCCTATAGTTATCAATAGCTACATAGTTCGATGCCGAGTTCCACACGCGCATCGCACTCGACATAAGGAACCTGATGGAAGAATTCAAAGTGCGGGCGGAAGTCTCTAGAAATATGCATTTGTTTGTATTTAAAGAAAAACACGTTCCAATATCAATGGATGTTGTTCGACGCTCTTGAAGTGTTTCAAAACCAAGGTGCACTTTGCCAGGCTGGGACGCCAAAAAGCTGTCGTTGCGTATCACACGCGGGGCACCAAAAAGTTCCATAAAATGTCGCACCACCTGCTTGGTGCATCCGCAGGGAACTTGTCATTGCATGTCATCTACTCTTGTACAGCACAAAACAAGTGGACAGGCAGGGAAGAGTTGGACTGACAGACTAGGCTTGTTCTGATCTTTACACATCTCATGTGTGTCATCGCTAGTAGAAACAAGTGCCACGCTAGTAGTAACAGGTGCCTTACTAGTAGTAACAAGAAGCTAGTAGAAACAAGTGCCACGCTGCTAGTATGTCGGTTTGCGGGCCTTCCCGCAAACGTTCAGCCAGGCTGACGGTCGCCGGGTCAGAGCGCATCAGCACAGGAGGCGCCTCCGTGCGCTGCCTCATCACGTGAAGCAAACATGACACTCTTCCACTGAACAATGGCCTCCAGCCTACTAGCGATGCCCTTGTTACTGCTACTAGTAATGCCCTTGTTACTAGTAGCGATGCCCTTGTTACTAGCGGCCTCCACCCTACTAGCGAACACAACACATACCGGATCACACCGGCAGGAGCTGCTCCAAGGCACCTCGGACCTTTGGCCTCTGCACGGGCTTGCTCTTGCTCCAAACGCTTGAGCATCTCCAGCGGTATAGCTTCCGCAGAAAGCGGTCTGAGAACTGTCCTCGCAAGTTTTGTACTGAAGATGTGAATAAGAAATTCAATGCAATTCAGGTTCTAGATGGTTCTAGCCGAGTCGCGTAAACAGAAGAAGCCCAGCAACAACAACTGGCCACCTCAATTATTGAGAGATCAACAAGAGACTTCAAAGTCATCTCAGAAGGAGAACTATAGCCGTGCATGCATCTGTTTTGCAGCAACACGACTCGCGACTTGCAGTAAAAATATCGTTTGAGTGAAGAAACTTGAAGAAACCCGATATTAGGGGGACGTAGCCTCGACTGGACACTCTTGTCTCAACTCTGTCTTGCAACATCAAGCACACGAGCCGACCACACTTTACGTTTTGACCCTCTGGAACGCTGCCATCAAGCTCAGGCTCTCACAAGCGGCCCCACTGGGGCGCTGCATCAGGAACTCCGCTCTGAAGAGCATCGAGCTTCACATCGCCTGTGGCAAAAAGGCCGAAGAAGCGTCGCTTGGGTGTCCAACAAATCACAGTCACAAACACCAAAGTCTGTTTGAGCGTTTCTGAGCCGTCTTTTCAGATCTATTGGGGAATCTGTTTGAGACCGTGTCAGGCCCTGCAGACTTCTCACTGGGGAGAAGCGCCGATTTGGTTACAGTAAGGCACCCTGAATCTGCGCTGCTTTTGTTTTTTGTTAACCAGAAAACACAACATAGCTTAACTGTTCTTCGGTGTTAACTGTTCTTCGGTGTTCTTCCTGCTTACACTTGCATTTACACGCATTTGCAATTTGCACTTGCATATCTTACATGATCTTGCATGCATTTGGTGTAGTTCTATGACAGTCCATGACCAAGTTTGTCAAGTCTGAACCCAGTCATGCAGTGGATATTCGATAAACGTTCAAGGTGGAAGGCGATACCCTACATCACATCTAAAGCACAATCGTCCTGATTCTATTCGCAGCATCTGTCTGTACAGGCCAAAATTGCCAACTGCCGCCTAAGCTCTAGGCACGGAAACAACATGTCGGAAGTGTCCCAAACGGGAGTGGCCACCATCGCCAAGGGGGGGAGAGTTGGATATGGAGATTGGAAGTCTTTGTAAAGGGCAGGTGAATGGCCAACTGAGACTGCTTTGCCTGGACGGGAACATGAACAGTGCAGCTTTCAATCAACGTGGCAAAACCACAACATTTGTGGCCTTTCCGATCCCAGGACTGGTGGCCTTCAACTCGGTGCTGAGAACTGCGCGGCCTAAAAAACTGAACACGAAACCCCGCATGCACAGCACACACTGCCGCACACCGCTGTCTGTCTCATCTCAACGCTTCTCTGTGTGAAGAACATGCTACCTGGCCTTGTCTCTCTGCTTGGAAACATGAAAGCAGTCCACTCTGCTCCTGAAGTTGCAGCATCACGCGTTGCCCATGTTGCATAGTGCGGTGCAAAGTTGTTCAATCAATCAACTGTGAGGGTCGGGCCTTCATAGAGAAGGAAACACAAGCTTCCAAGCAAAAGCCATTGCAGTCGTGCCATTGCACTCGGTAGAAGTTCTCTTTACATCATAATGATTGACAATCTCTCAATCTGGGGCAAGCATCAAGCACTGGTGATCTATTGCTGGCGAAAATGAATTAGTGTTCTTTAATGATTTCCTCCAAGAGATGTTTTCTTGCATTATGCTGTCAACATGTCATGACGCTTGCAGGGAACCTCACCAGCTGCAGTTGAGACCAAAATGCATCAGTAGCCTGCCGTATATGTAACTATGTTTTGAGGTTCACAGTTACAAGGAACAGTTTGTGAAACTGGTGGTCAAATAGTAGTCTCAAGGATTCTCAAGGAATGTAAAAGGACATATCACATCTATCATATAGTATACTGTATATTATCTTGTCACTCTGTTGAGTAGAAGTGGTGCTCGCCTCCTCGGCTGAGCGTGCCACAAAGTACTTGTCGCTGCTTCCACGATTGGTCGGATAAAACCTCGCTGATTGATCAAACCCAGAAAGGGTAAGGCCTCTGTCTCAGGCTCAGGGGTAAGACCAGTCGTGAGGCCCGTCTTACCGTACCAGGACCAAAAGAGGCCTTCTTTGAACAACGGCAGGGTCTTGCTTGGCTTTTATTGGCCTCTGACTGTAAACAAGAACACTTTTAAACATGTCCAGTTGTTTTTTTTCTCATTCGGCCTTTGGACTGACTGTTCCACATTTAGAATATTCCTTTCTCTGTCTTTCTTCCTGTACTCAGAAAGCGGTACCCCTCACCAGGTGCTTGCCGCAGGGCATCGCTTTCTCTAAGTCGCAGGCACTGGAATGCGGTGACCCCACCAGAGTTGCCTGGAGATGCACCAAGGCTGCTTCTCCTTCAACCAGTCTTGCCAAGTCCTGCAAAGGGTATAAAAAATGATGAAAGGGATAACAAATGATGACAAGAATCGTCCAAGTGAAAACATGTATTGTAAATCCCATCAGTCTTTACGAAGCGATCGGGTTGAATGTTGATGTCACCAGACCTCATTCAAGTGCGGCTGCAATCGGAAGGCAAGGAGTCATGGACGGAACAAACCGCAACAACTCTTGGCCACCGGCTCAACTGCGTCCAGGGCGCGTTGTGCCATGACCTCGCAGCCGAAACAGCGTTTTTCACATCCAAACCATCGGTTGGTCCTTTCCTTTTTGGTCTTTAGACCCTTTCGCACGTTCTACAAACCATTCGCTGCCTCTGTAGAGACAAACCACTGGTCCGACAGCATTGGCTCAATGACCTCACCACTCCTGGATACGTGATGAGCAAAAATCTCAGGAACTGCATATCACAGCAGTGTAAAGAGCGAATCGCATTCGATTGTGCTGTGAAAATCTAGAGCCATCAGGAGCTCTGAAGAGCCCGTATTCCTTTGTCGCACATGTCTTCCAGGCCTTTGAGAGAGTGGAACACGCTGCATGTGGTCCTCCCGAACGCAAAGTCGCATGACTTGGGTCAGACTTGGCCATGTCAATCAAGCCCACACAAACCCAAGCAGCTTCTCCTCCACCTTCAGAGCAAGTCCAGCTTCCTCCAAATCCGTCCAAAGCTTCTTCCGGCCTCGGAATACGAGGACAACACGTCGACACGTTCAAAACCCCTCAGGCCCTTTGAGCTTCAAACACACGGCTCGGTCAAGGCCCACGTATTCGGGCGAACCTTCCCAAGGTCCCAAATTGATCTTTTGGATATCTTTGGGCAAAGTTGATGGGATCCATCCACGTGCAAGGCGTCTGGCCTAAGGCTTCCAAGGTGTTTGCCATAGATCCATCCAACCCAATGACCTCCAAAAAACTCTTAAGGGACAGTAAAAACAGCAATCAAGCTCGCAGCAATTAAGCTTGCTCTTATCTTCTCCATGTCACCTACCTATATCCTTCCAATATGAATATGATTCAGAGTGGCTCAAGCAACGCAACTCTGTGACAGCAATTGCGCACCGTATAGTTCTCAAGGCCGTGTCTTTGACCAATCTCAAAGTCGTTGAAGTCATGAGAGGGTGTGATCTTCAATGCACCGGTTCCAAACCTCTACAGTCAAGCAAAAAGTCAAGCAAACTCTACACGACTCACGGAAGTCAGAAACCAGGTGTCAGACTCCCGGTCGACATAAGCATCGGCAATGACCGGAATACGGCGCCCTCCAGAGCCAAATTAAACGGAAGAAGCGATGGCCAGGAGCCCCGAACGTAGCGTCCTTGCTCCTAGTAGCGGTGCCCTTTGTTCCTAGCAGCTTCTTATTACTAGTAGCGATGCGAGGAGCTACTAGTAGACCCTTGCTCCTAATAGCAATGGCCTCCAACCTCATTGTGATTTTAATCCATTCTCAACAAGCGCGACCTTGTGTACTGGAAGGTGCTGAAGCCACGGCATGCGCTGTGTATAGCAACCCACCTTGAACTGGAACAAGGACATCTCGGCCGATGAGGTGCTGATACCGAGGATCCTGTCAGTTCTTAACAAATCACTATCTTTGGCCTTCAATTGCCGTCAGATCTTTGGGTTTGTCAAACACTCGGTTCGCTGGAGGCCATGGCTATTAGGTTGGAGGTCATCGCGAGTAGGGAGGGCAGAGCGGCACAGCCCAAGTTTGCTCAATGCTCCGTCCACGGCGCCTCCGGATGTACACATACCGCAGAATCCCCTAGGATCGTCTCTGGTCGCGTTGTGGCAACCGGGATGAATTCCTGACGCTCAGAGTGTTGCAAGCCCCTGGTAGCGTCCTTGCTCCTAGTAGCTCGGAGTGTTGCCCTCAGAGTCTCCTCTTCCGCGCCATCTGAATCAGCTACGACATACCTCAATTGAACATCGAGGAGCACACGGCACAAGCAACGAGGTCAGCTCAGATCGTGGCTTGAAATAATACAAGTGTCCTTGAGCGTCAGAGTACTCCACCTGAAGGCAAAAGGGCAGAACATCGCTGCCTTGGGACTTTAGCTTGATCCAAAAAAGAATAACAATGTTTTTGTAAATAGGAAGCAATGTGTCTAAAAAGGGAGAAAAAAGGAAAGTACTTAAAATGTGAATGATTGATTTTATGATATTAAAAACAAAAAAGAGCATCCCTTTGTTCAAACACGGTTTGAAAATTCATTCACAAACTTGACAGCACCTCGAGGTCGCTGACCGCAGTCTGCAAGACTGGGCTCCAGTTCACCATGCGTTGACCACGGAAAATGGCACCCATCCTGACGGAGAGCATAGAGTGTTTCGAGCTCTGAAACCGCCAAAGAGCAAATGCATATTCAGCAACGCGACAAGCCCGCATCCCCACAAGCATATATGAGGTTCCCAGCTCATGCAACCGGCAAAACGCCTCAACCACCTGAGTCATGCAAACAGCTCTTCAACGCATAACGACTCGACTCATGCTCTCTGATGCGTTTCCGAATTCTGCGCATTCCGTCGATATCAGTTGATTCCCTTGCCGTCGATAGTCGTCCTCAGGTCCTTGCTGCGCCGCTCATGTGATCATTCAGCGTAAACTGCCTGAAGTCGTGTGCTCGGCGCATCAGCGTAAACTGCCTCTGGTGCTTATCTTCTCCCTGTCCACATTCATCCACCCATAAATCTCGATCTCCACGTATACAGGCTCGATGGCACGTCTCGGAGTCTCGGTATGTCATGTTTCACGAAAAATCCGAGTCCAGTAACTAAATGTAACTAGTAGGAGCTTTCTTGCTACTGGAACGACTATATACACCTAAGCTATCCTAAGCTACTCCGCGGTCGATCAGTGTGGCCGAGGAGCTCTCTGGACCAGTCGGCTGAGGCACCCAAGCATCGCATCTGATCGACCTGAAAACGAAGCGAACGGCAGGGTGGACAAGACATGAGTTGACAACAGTGGACAACAGGCGTTTGGGGCTTCAAGAGGGCCTTATCATTAAAAGGGCACATCGCTATTTTTGTGGTCTAAATTAGAGCTCCTTCGATGCGAACAGTGTATACAACGCAAATGACTTCGTCACATCTTTTTCATGAGGTTTTCCAGGACCAACTGACACAATATTGCAAGTGCTAACTAGCAGGACTACTAGCAGGATGCCAATGGATGCCAGGGATCTCACGATGGCACCGCCTTTCTCCTCCTTCCATTCCCATACCTTCGGATCAGCCAATCTAAAAGGTGAATTGACAGTTGCAGATCCGTGTCTGACTCGGAAGAAGCAAGTCTTGTTCAGGGCCGGACGCGTCTCAGGAATTCCTCCCTGCCCACTTCCTGGCGCCTAAAAAGGACAAAAAAAAGGGTTTCAAAACGTTTCAATCCACTGGATCCATCAGGCCCATCCATCCAAGTAATCACATAGATCACATAGCAAAAAGAAGATTCTAGTATCCGATCCTCGATCCCGATTTGTTCAAGGCTCCGACGAGGTGCCCTCTGCGGCCAGCTGTCTTTCCTTGAGAAGATGCCGAGTAGATGGAACATGATGTAACGAAACAAAAATGGTGAAACTGTATACTCCGAACAACCAGCTGGGGAACGACTTTAGCCTCAGAAACTTCCTCGTTCTCATGATTGAAGCGTTTGAATCAGGTACGCACCACCAGCATCTGCGTCGCAATGCCGGCATGATCGGTGCCTAAACATGCCAAAATAGTGAGTCTGCTAAGAACCGACTCTCGGCTCTTCAAAGAGCCGGCGCCTGGTAACCAAAGAGTTTGATCGCCACGCATTCGATGAAAACGTGTGAGGACCTGAGGAATATCGTTTATAAATTACATGATTGAAAATCACGTGTTCAACCGAGCCAAACACATCCTCCAAGCTCACGAACATGGCATGACCTTGCGCCATCGACCGACGCGCATGGAAAAAAGGAATTCGTTGGTTTGCAGCCGAGAGACCCATGTGAAGCCTGTCCAAGACGAGGATAGGGAGGATAGGGAGGGACCGGGATGGACATGGAATGCGTCCAGAATCGAAACGATTTGCTGATAGCGGCTAAAGAAAGATAGAATCGGTTTCGAGCGTTCACTGGAAAAGGGTTCAAAAAGAAACTGTTAGCATGAAAGGATCAAAATTAAAGAATACACATCTATGAACAACAAACCGTTTGAACGTTCTTCGCTCATGGTAGCGCCTGCCAGTCACATTGGGCGGTGGCATGGGTACTACATAGGACTCCTTCTTCTCTGACTCGGAGGGGACCTGAATCATTCAACAAACCGGAAACAGAAAGGCATCAAACATTGTTACTACTAGTAACAAGTGCCTCGCTAGTAGTAACAAGTGCCTTACTAGTAGTAACAAGAAGCTATTAGTTAAGATCTCAAGAAAGGTCCAAGAAAGATGAGACACATGACGAAAGATGACGAAATAGCATGTGTTTGATTGTGGGTGTTTGCTCTCAACTAATTGAACAAACTGTCAAACGTGTCAAACAAGTTACATCAACCCAGGCCTTCTCTGCAACTTCTGGTCGGAAGAAACCAGCAGATTCCCACCAACCTTCGATCCCCACAACACGAAGTTATCTCGAAGCATTTTGCAGGCTTTAGCTTTGCTCCAAAGGATACGATTCGATTTCATCGGCAAACTTAGACTTCTGCCATACAGGTCCTTTTCCACGGCAGAGTGGTCGTATCTACCTGGCATTGACCTCAAGTACCAGTCAGTGGGAGTCAGGTGGAACCATCTCCGCTTGTCACTGCGAAGTGTTTCCCTGTGAAAGAAAGCGACTTGGTTTTGAACCCATTGACGACAGAAGTGGGGCACCCTGAAGCAGAGGCCTGCAAGTAGCTGGGGTATCAAACAAGCTCGTGGCTCGCAGCATCTTGTAATTTCTTCATGTATTGTGGAAATGAAAACTACTAGTAGCAAGAGAAACTACTAGTGACAAGTGCATCGCTACTAGTAGCAAGAAAATACTAGTAACAAGGCGTTAAAGGTGCATCTGTTGAACAAAAAATGTTTGCTATCTCTAACTCAGCATTTCAGGTTCCCTTTTTGTCCACGCTACAAGTACAGCGAGGCTGCGAAGATGATGCCACGCTTCAGTCGAGAACGACCTTCATTGAGTTTCCTCGGTGTCGCGGATTCAAGACTGCTGCCATTCAGTGCGTTGTTTCAATCCGAAACTGAAAGCGACAAAGCATGTCAAACAAGTATATCCCTAGTCCCGAACAAATCAAGAACACAGTCCCACAAGATAGATTTGAGTCGAACATACTCGCAAATTAACATGAATTTGCAAACTGCACTTTCAGGAATTCTAGGTAGTCAGGTAAGTCTTCCTATTGCTATTTCCCTCCCTGGTCTTCATTGGTCGTCATCATTTCTCCACGACTACTCCTCACCTCAGTGCATGGACTTGACTAAGTTTACTGTAGTTATAGTGAACACACTTTGTAATTTAAGGTAGTTTTTCGAAAACTACGTTCCAAGAAAGGCTGAGGAAAAACAAGGTCACGCCCGCTGCAACGGCCCCGCGCGATTTGCGCGTTCTCACATGCATCTTCGAGTCGTTTTTCACAACCCCTCTGGCACTTTATGGCGATGCCTTTTTTAGGTCCATGTCACTTTGAATGTGTTTTTACACCACAAAACGCCTCTCAAATCGTAACTCCATTGTGAAATGACTGTGCCCGGAAGTAAAAAGACCGGATCTTTAATCGCTTCTTCGCTTCTCTTTTTTTTCATGATACCTTAACACACTTCCACTCCCTCAGGCATGCCACTCCTTTTCACGCGTTCCACTCCTCCTGTGCCATCTGACCCAACGTCTGCAGTTGGTGCTTAGACGGTGCATTACAGCGCCACGCAAAAGCTATACATATATTCTTGGATCTGTGCATTCTACCCGCCATTGGATTGCTTGGATGCCAACTCTTTCGGGATAAACTTCTTCAGGGATGACCATTTGCGGTCAATACATTGGGTGCCATGCGTTTTCCGACCACGCGCTTTGCGCGTAAACTCCATCCCCAACGGGAAGATCAACTTGGTTTGCTAGTGCAAGCGAACGTTAACACACACCCCATCCCCAACGTAGTATCAACTTGGTAGCATCAACTTGGTTTGCAAGTGCAAGCGAACGTTAACAGACCCC